CCCCGAGCCATTGTCCAGTGCTACGGCGCAGCAGCGTCTCGGAGAGAAAGCAGATTTCCAGTGGGACAGGGAGTTGGCACCAGTGGCCACGAGCTGGCCAGGCAGTCCCGCCGGGAGCGGGTGCCAGTAGGAAGAGAGAAGATACTTGGTCCCGTTTTACAAGGGTCCGCGTGCACCAGCCACGGCCAGGAGGACACAGCACGGGATCCATACACAGGGTGCCACTGTCTCAGCGTCTGTCCTCAGCCAGCGCTGGGGGTAACGGTCACCTGCAAGCAGAGAGTGGGGTAAGACGGGCGAGCAGCTGCAGAGACACCGTACCCAGGCCCCATGAGACACCACCCCCCCGCCCCTCTGCCGGTGTCCCCAACCCAAGGGAACCCACTCCTGTCGGTCCCTTACTGATGCCCACAGTCACGTTAGCTCCAGGGCACAGCCCAGCTCCACCGAGATTCCCTGGTCCTTCCTACAGCCAGGGAACCAGCCCCAAACCCGCAAGGAAACCTCTTCCCAAGAGCTTAAAGTCTCAGTGACAGCAGAGCTTTCCTCAGTCGCGCAAACCAGCAGCTGATGGGATCATCTACTGCATGGGGACGGCACTTTGGGGTCTGCCATTGGCCCTCCCAACAGCAGGCACAGGTTAAGGGACAGAGCATCCCTGAGACATGTCACAGAGCAGAGCTGGTGCTCTTTGCACCACATCCCTCGGCTCCTCCGCTTGCAGTGTGACCCACCTGCCCCAAAGTGTCCCCGAGGGTCTCTCACCTCCTGTGCCCACGGGAGAGGTAGTCCCGGTTCAAGGAGCAGAGCTGCTGCTCCAGTCGGAAGATACGAAACGCCAGGTATGAGGAGGATACGACCAGGAGGCAGATGCTGGGAGCAGATGAACAAGCACAAGCGCTCAGTGACTGGTGGCTGAAACAGACATTCCCGGCATATCCTGGTCCTCCCCATGCCACGGCCGCCCTCGGCACACTTACAGCACAATGAAGATCTTCAGGAGCTGGTAGTCAGAGGGTCTCAGCTCCGCCACACAGCTCTGCTCCACCTCCAGCTCCTCCTCGGTGTTTATTGCACTTTCTGAAATGCAAGCCCAGAGTAAGTGGCACGGAGACACTGGGCTCATGCTCCTCCGGCAACCGGGAGCCTTCAAGCATCAAGTCTTCCTCCCTCGTGGGCTAATGCTGCCTGCATGGTGTTACAGGCACACGCTGAGGGCTCTGACCCCATCCCATCCCCAGGACCCCATCACCGACTCCCAGCCTCAACCTTGCTCATCTGCAAGGCAGAAATCCCCTCCACGAGAGCAGAGGATGGATGAACACGTATTTATGGAGGTTTACGTCCAGCACCGTGTGCGGGGCAGGGCACAAACTAATGTCCCCGGGTCAGACGCAGCCCTCACCTGAAACCAGGGGCTCCTCGGAGGTGAAGGAGCTCTCCTTGGCACTCAGGCTGCTGACAGAGGTCCGGTGGATGCACTGGTAGTCGGCATCTGGCAGCGACAGTGACAGCGAGGCAGGGGACACCTTCCTCCACTTGCCCTCCGGGACGATCACCTCCTGCAGGAACAGCCCCAGGTGAGCTGTGCTCCTGGCAGTGGTTTCTCCCATGAAACCAGCAGTGCCGAGGATACGGCGGGTCCAGATTCGGACTTGAACCTTATAGCATCTCCATCCAGCACCAGCACATCCCAAACATCGTCCTAAGGAGGAGCTGCTCCTCCAGGATGGTCCCGTGGCGACACAGGTTCCTACTGCCATAGGTAGGACCTGCCCACACACCCCACGCCTGCCCCAAATACCAATTGTGGCCTCCTTCACCCCTTGAAGCTCAGCATGGTCACTTGCTATCCTCTGAGAGCCCCTCGCCTGCTCTGTGTCTCAACATCCCGGCCCCAACACGCCCCGGAAAGGCACCGAATCGAAAGGAGTGGTAGCCAGCATGGAGAGGGGTTCCCTCGCCAGAGTCCCCAGGGCTGGAGCTGCTGCAGGGCTACATCCCTCGGAAGTACCGGGAGACGCTGCCAGCCTGGATCGCTCCCAATTCAGCCCTTGCAAGTGCCCTCAACCCCTGGGATGCCACCAGACCATGGGGGACATCCCACCTGTCACCTCTTTGTCCTGCATGCAGGTGACCCACAAGGGCCAACCCAGTTGTCACCTCCTGCACCCAGCCTGATGCACAGGGCCACCAACCCATGGAGGACACCCTGCTCCATGTCCCCATACAGCCCAGCACGGCCACAGCACCAACGGCTTTGTGATGGAGCAGAGACAGGGACGGGCCATCCACATTTCATGGAGAAGACACATCGTGCCGGCCAGGAACGCAGCCACCACAGGCAGAGCCAAGCCCTGCTGTGCTCCAAAGGCGGCAGGACATGGCCCGTCGGGCTCCCTTGGTCCACGCACGAAGCAGCGTTTTCCCTCTCCAGCCTCCTGGCTATGAGCCATCCCACTCATCCCATGTGTTTTTGGATAACTCAACCACATTTCCAGCCTGTTATCCATGTTCACGGCTGCGAACAGCAGCAGCCAGCAGGAGTGGGAGCATTTTCCACATCACCCTGAAGTTTTTCCATCTATAAGTGGACCCCCGAGACCAACTGGCCGAGTCATCGGCTTGCACTCAGCCACAGGCTGTCCAAATCATCCTCTTGACCCGTCCATTTCTGCCAAGTCAGGGTATGAGGATCCCAGAGGACGAGCTATGAAGGCGACGGCCACATCCTCACGCAACCTTTGTTGGCAGCAAGGGGAGAGGATCGACTCTGCGCCCTGCAAGTGGCTGCTGGTTGAACCTCAGTGTGCCCAGAAGGCATTAAACCCCCCAAGGGGGCTGGGCAGACACTCTCCTGCCCACAGCACAAGTTCATGGGGGTCCTTCCCTCTCCCAGAGCTGCCCTGAGCCTCACCAGCGACACGGCATCAGGCTCCTCCGTCAGCTCCTTCAAACTCAAGCTCTTCTTACTTGAAACCTGGAAGGGAGAAAGAAACGGGCGTTATGGTGCCACCTCTCCCTGCTTCAACCTGAGCCAGAAAACTGAATTTTGACTTTTCTGGCAAGTCTATGAAGAGCAACTGCTTAAAACTTGCAAGCATGGGGATTTTGGAGATGAAGAAGAGCATCCAGCAGAGGACGGGGCACCGCATTGCTGCTTCCCATCACCAAAACCCCTACAGTGCCATGGCTGAGCCAAGGGCTCCTGCACCAGCCTTGGCTCCCAGAGGAGAAGATAAACCATCAGGGAAAAAAAAAAGGGAATATCTGGGCAGACCCCAGCACATTTCAAAGAATAAATTCCCCAGTTCAGCAACGGGGCTGAATCACCCAAATCGCTGCCCCAGCACAGCCGGGGGACACCCTTTTGGATAGGGAAGGGGTCCAGCACCACTTCCCACATGTTCCAAAGGCAGGGAGAAGAGGAGGTCCCCACAATCCTCGTCTCCAGCTTGAGGGCTGATGGATGTCTTCCCCCCTTAGAGTTCTTACTAGCTTTTTTTTTTCCCCCCTTCTCCTTTCTACCATTTTTCCTCTCCTTAAAACTTTAGATCTGGGGAAAAGGCACCGATATGCAGAGTGGCAGAACTAGTATTACTACCAGATTATAAATAATTCGTATACACGCCCTGGGAGACAGCAGAAACTCCAGGCTCTGCCTCCATCATGCGTGACCCAGAAAAGGCCAGCGGCTGCTGACGGGCACAGGACGTACCTGGGGCATGGCTCCTGCCCCTCTTCCCGTCCCTTGCTGCAGAGCAAGGATGCTGGGAAGAGGCAGCAGGGCACCAGGGAGGGCTTTGGGAGCGGTCGGAAGCCTTGGAGGCAGTGGTGAAGAGCTCTGCTCCCCAAATGCAGCCCAAGGGGCGAGCACAGAGCTCCGTGGCCAACGAAACAACATTGGATACGGGGTGGAGAGTACCTGTAGGTGTGTGCAGACTCTTCTCAGGACATCATAGACGCTGTCGCGGGAGATGAGGGACACGAAGATGTACTACAAGAGAAACAGAGAAGCTGCCGGGAGAGATTCCCCCTCATCCCGCGTCCGGTTCTCTGCAGGCAGGGGACAGGCAGAGACGTCCTGCCCTTGAATCTCCCCTCCTTCGGGAGCCGCGTCCCCCCACAGGCATCTCCCTGTGGACTTTCCCTGCTGTTATTTTTGCAGCCTGCTAAAACCTGGACCAGATTTTTTCGGGGCCAGTTTCGCTCAGCTGCTCTTCCCGTGGGGCGTCCCGTGCTCAGCCCTGAGGGATGCGGCAGCAAACGGGGCCAGGAGGGATGGAAAACATCCCCATGGATCGGCACAAGGGGACACAGGGCAGTGCTTACCTTGCCCGATGCAGAGCCCATGCGATGTGCAGAGCAGCCTTGCAACCGGATCGCTTTGAAGACTCAAATCCTGCCTTGTGCCACCCCCTGCTAAAATCCCACGGGAGCAAGCCCCTCAATGGCAGGGAATGGGCAACACACGCTGCTGCCAGCAGCAACTGGGCAGGTGAGAACTTGGGACGCATGGAGCAGGACTATGTCAGCTCATTGTGACCGACAACACCCAACATGATTTAAAAGCTGGAAATTCAGTCCCTTAACCAAGTTTTCCAGCAGCTTGGGTTGAATGCCAGCCCAAAGCCTTCCCCTGCTTGCGTTTAAGGAGTTTAAAGGTTTTATTTGAGCCTGGCAGGGATTTGTCAGGTTTGGCTGAGTTTCACTTGGGCTTTGCTTCGCCCAGAAACAAAGTGAAATTCAGAAACAAAAGCAAAGCCGTGGTGTTTGCCCTGGATGGCTGCCAGCACGGACAGCAGCGCTCGTTTCCCAACCAGCCTGCACTTTCAGCTGAGGATGGGAATCTCTTTGTTCCCTGCTCTCAAATCACAGCCAACTCGGACCAGAGCATCCCCTGGCTGCGGCGAGGCCAGGTACCGACGCTCGAAGCGTTGGCGTTACCTTTCTGCTGGCATTGGTGGTGATGGCCAAGCCGTTGGGCAGCAGCCGAGCCGTCTTGTGCTTTTTTATCAGCTGCACGGAGACCACTGGGATCACAACCTGCAGGGTGAAAAGATACAGGGATGGGCAGGGATGGGCACGGCGTGAGCTTGGGGAGTTTCTTTCGCAAGGCGGAGACTCAACACGCATCGTAATTATGACCCAAGCAGAGCGAGGACGCGGGGGTTTGGCATTTCCCAGAGATAGCTTGGGTTTTATTAAAGGTCACGGTATCCTCCCCCGCGTTAATCTCGGCTCGGAGGTGGTTTCTACTCGATCAAAACAGTGAGGACACAGGAAAGCATTGTGCAGTGAATCTCCCTAAGACCCAGCACAAGAGCCCCTCCACAAGCCTGGGAAGGGTTAAAATTAAGTCAGGATATAATGTATGGCAGGATAACTTTGTTGAAACCCCGTATTTCCATCAGATATTTGTTTAAAGTGGCTGATATAAATAATTCAGTTCTTCAGCCCGGTTTTAAAGGAAGTCATCTCTCCCCAAGATCCCCGTCAGCCACAAGACTAACAGGGAAACATCAGATTGTAAATCAAGAAGAAAAGCCAAGAGAGATTCAAATCATCCCTCCCTCCGAAACCTTTGATCTTCCTTCAAACTCTGTTGCGGTTTGTAGGAGGTTTTGCATCAGGGAATTTTAAACCAAACCAATATTTGGTTTCCCCAGGCAGATGCCGCAGGTGATCGGAGAGGGAGGCACAGCTGCACTCCCCTTCGCATTGGAGGCTTTTGATGGCGATTTTGGTGGTATTTGGGTGCAGGAGAAGACAAGCTGCAGCATAGCCTGGGCTACAAGCCCTAAGGGACCAGGGTGAGCTGGCCCCCACGTTACCTTGATGTCCTTCCCAAAAAGGTTTGCGTAGAAGCAGAGCCAGTTGGGGGAGATGTAAAGCCTTCCCTGGATGAGGATGTCTCTCTGGAGCGCGCAGGAGCAAACTGCAAGGCAGGGAGAGGGGCATGGCAGATTGCGTGCTGGATTCTGCCACCCCCATGCCCGTCCCTCGCTGTGCCACCCACCTTTCAGCACGCTCTCCTCCGTCGGGATGTCCTTGAACAGCTTGTGGTACTGAGAGTTGTACTTGCTAGCAGCCTGAAAATGAAGCAGAGCAAAGTTATCTGGTGACCTTGCCGATAAGGAGACCCAAAAAAACACCCTCCTGCAAAAAAATCTCCCTCTCCCCGCACCCGGGACCGGCGCAGCGGTGTCCCACCGGGCTGGGGATGGCGGGCCCGAAGGGCTAGAAGAGGGTCTGATGATTTAGCACCCAGCAAACGCTGTGCCATCCTGCCAAATAAACATTTCCCCTAATATCTAAGGAGGCTGCTGAGCCTCTGCGAGGAGCCGGTTTTCTCCCGGGCTCATCCGCAGGCAATTTATTTTGCCCAGTGGTTTCTCTCCTCCTCCTCTTCGAGCTCTTCCCTTATTCGGGGCACGGTGACAACACTTGCTTTGCACCCATCGCGCCGCGCCATCCAGCTATTTATATTCCCAGTGTCTCTTCAAAGCCTGCCGGCAGCCGCGGCGGGAGGCTCGGCAGGTTCGCCTTTAAATAATTCTGTACATAAGTTAAAGGCTCCAAAGCAGTTCAATGCTTTGCATTAAATCCACTCAAATAGTAAGGCAGCACAGGCAGATTTGTGGCCCCTGTCCTGGAGAAGGCAGCATCCCACACCTCAGGGCACTCCCCGGGGATGCAGCTGTCCTCGCGGCAGTCATGTCTGCCCCCCGAAATCCAAGGGACGAGATGCTTTGCCAGGATGGGGAGAGGTATCTCCGGCACAGCTTGAAGGGCCCTGGGGCAGCAAGGCTGGTTTGCAGGCCGAGCCCTCCTGCCCGCGGTGACAAGGTCACCTTTGCTCTGCGCACCTTGTCACCAGATGAGCTGGGCCATAAGAGGATCAAGACTCAGCATCACCTGGGGTCAGCTTAGACACCCCCCGGAGAGCCGCCAGGATGGTGGGGGTGCCGGTGGGAGTGTTGCAGGGGGACAAAGAGGGACATGGGGGGGGACTGTGGCGTCACCTCTAAGCCGGCACCAACACGCCATGGTTCCAGCACAAACTCATTGCCAAACCCAAAATCCTCCCAGATGTCTCTGAATAATTGGCAAAATCTTTTTCTCCTCCATCTTCTTCATGGGGAAAGGCAAAATACCTCCTCCCTCTGCTCCTTCCTCTTCCAGAGCATCCCTTGTTTGTAGACGGACCGAAAAGCTCTACCTCAGGTACGATTTGAACAACCAAAAAGGTTCAAATAGACAAGAACCAAGCTGATTGCAGTCAAGATTTCCGCTTTCTCCTTTGCTCTGGATGGAAAATCCTGAAAGTGTTTGCAAGGCAGATCACAGGCCACACGAAACCGTCATCAGTTCCCCTGAAAACACAGGCAGGAGCCTCTGCCCTACACCTGCTGCGGCTTCACCTCCAGCTCCCACAGCCCACATTTGAGACCCCAGGCAGGCTCCTCTGTGGCAAACGGCCAGGGTCAGGCTACAACGAACCAGCCCATTTGCTCACAAAGCCAAAGACTTACCACTTCCCGGTGGCATTTCTTGAGGTCTTCATCCTTCAGAGCTTCATTCAGGTGGAGGCTGAAAGGAAAAATAACAACAACAATCAGGTAAGTAAAGAGCCCCGGGTCTCTCACCCACTCCCTAGAACACACGTGCTGCAAGAAGAGACATGGCAAGACATAGAGGACCGAAGAGAGCCCCTGGGAAGCCACATTTTGGATGTCTTGGTGATTTATCATAGCATCGGGTGTTGCTGAGGTTAAATAACAGCTGCAGGAGAAGGCTGATCTCTGTCTGGCATCAGGCTGATGGCGAGCCAGTGGAGGCACCAGCACTGGAGTGCCCGTCCCCAAAACACACCCCAGCACCAGGGGAAGGAGCACAGAGCTGCCCCCAGCAGCAGCCTGGGGCAAGTTAGGAGCTGGCGAGGGGCAGCTTCAGCTGGGTCAAGGATTCCCCAGGGAAAGCACAAATGGGAATTTGGGAATGTGCCCGGGCAGAAGGACGGATTCGGCTCTGACCGTGCACAGGGGCATCCGTCCACATCCATCACGCAGGCAAATGAAGGGAGAAGCCACAGAGACAGTGAAATCCTCCCAACAACCTCAGCAGCGCGAATACCAGTCCCTTTCCCCAAACCTCTCTCCCCTCCCTGCTTTTATAGGCCCAATATTTGAGGAGGAAAACAAAGAGAGGACCCCTGTGCCCACCCCTAGCTGGTGGGTTGCATTCGGGGGCTTGGAGGCAGCGAAGATGCTGCCGGAGGTCGCAACAGGAGGGAAAAAGAGCAAGGACTCCACCACAGACCCCAGGACACTGCCCCTCACCTGCCATCAAGGGAATCCAAACTCTTCTCCTTGTGGGATGCCTCCAGTTTCTCACGGCTGTGCATGGGCTCGGGGCTCTTCAGGGGAGCTGCTTTCTCGTGCATCGGCTTGGCACTGCAAAGAGAAGCCTGTCAGCAACTGAGGGGAAGGCAAAGAGGGTAGAGATACATTTTGGAGCTGTAAATCCATTCCCTTCAATCCCAGTCTGCACAGAGCCGTTAGTATCCCTGCTGTTCAAGGACAGCAAGAATAGTTCTGCGATTTCTCAAGTCACACAGAGAAAAAAAGGGCAATTCTTGCGAGGAATTCCCCAGCGCTCGCAATTGAGTGGCCAAGGAGCGGTGGCGGCTCCCTCCCTGCCGCCTCAGACAACACCCTCCAACGCAGAGCCTCTCTCCCTCCAGAGACGGAAGTTCGGATGGGAAAAATCACAGGTCTATGAAACTCCCTGGGGCGATGGAGATTTTGGCCAGCAAAGGCCAGGGTCTGCTCCTCCGGGTCAGCAAAACACCAACTTCCCAGGGCAGAGCCTTTGCTGAGGGCTCCACCTCCCTCTAATCGCTTCTCCCTTGTTAAAGCCTGTTATTTACTATCACGAGTTTTATCAGAGGCGCTTATCGGCCATGACAGGTAAAGTAAACACGCTCCCAGTGCCGCAGAGGGAAGGTTATCGTCCAGCAGGCCAGAAAGGTGACGCTTCCGCCCTCGGCAAACCGCAACCGGAGATTGCTGTGCCGCAGCGCTTCTGGCACCGAGAGCCAAAGCGAAGCGCAATCCCAGGGGACTGATGCTGGAGCAGCGATCCACGGGCTCCAGCGGCATGGCAGAGCCAGCAAACGGCCACCGGACCTATGGAAAGGAAGTAATTCAAGGGAAAAGAGCTTGGTTCAATGGGCAGGGGGCGATGCCAGAGCAGGTGGGGGACAGTCAGGACAGCAGCGGGCAGGATGAGCGCCAGCGGGCAGGACAAGCGCAGAGCTGGAGCACATCCCAGTGCCCGCAGGGATGATGCCGTGGCAGTGCGGCAGAGCCAACCAAACTGCTTCCTACATACAGAGGGGGGCCCTTTCACGCCCTGATCTTCCCTAGACACACCTTGCTCCCACTCCAAAGGGCTCATCCGAAGGGAAACCCACCTAAATGATCCCCTACAGGCTCAGGGAGAGCCAGGACAGGGGTGCTGCACACCAACAGCCATGCCCAAATGGCCTGAGAGTCGAAGCCACGTAAAGCCCCTGTGTCCCCGCAGTCTCGGGGGCGCAACCAAAACACTGTCCTGATGCCATGGAGCCGGGCTGAATCCCGGCCAGAGGCACAGGGGATGCTCCCTCAAGCACATAAGTGGAGCTGCAGAAAAACCGAACACAAGTCACCAGTGCAGTGCGGTTCGGAGCAGGCTGGGAACCAGCTTCTAGATCCCCGCAGCCGGCATTTGCAAAGTAAACGAGCTGTCTGCACGGCCCGAAAGCCCGACCGTTGCAGGGAGAGGATGGACACACCGAGGTTAAGAGGCTTTTTTAGGAGAAGCTCAGGTCAAAGGATGTGTTTGGAAGGGAAGGGAGACTCTGCCAACAAGAAGCACCAAAATAACATCCCTTAGCATCGCACCAAAAGGCTTTTTACCTGCCTGATTCCTCAGGCACCCCGTGCCTTCAGGATGGGCAGCTCTGCACCACAAACATCTCCGCCAGGTGATGCCACACTGCCCTGAAGCCAAAACTCGTATCACAGAGATGCCAAAGCCTTCATCCTCCCTGCCCCTATGCTGGAAAAGGGGCTCCGACCCACTCTGGAGGCTCATTCTCCAGAGGTCAGCCCGATCTAGCTTCCCCCACGTCATCCCTTAAATCCCCAAGCAGTTGCACCGCTTAATCCGGGCGAGCGGATTTAGCCCGAACTGGGGCTGACACCAAGGGGTGCCGCATGGGGGATGGGGAGAGGCACTCCCTGCTCAAGATGAGGGCATCAAGAAACCCCCCCAAGATCACCAAACCATGGAACTCCCCTAAAACGAGAAGAGCCAGAGAACAGTCAGAAACACTGCATGGTCCTGTCCCAGTTTTCTCTCTCTCTTTCAGTAACCGCCAGGAACAAGTCCCAGGTCAGACGGTCCCCGGACACAGCGCTGGCACTGGGCTGCTCCAGGGAGGGGCTGGGGGCTGCCAGGAGCATCCTCAGCCCCAGCGGAGACATCGCAACGGCTGCCTCGTCTCCCCTCTCCAGATCTCGCTCTGTCCCAGCCCCCTGATGCGGCAGGGACGGAGATCCAGGTTTGGGAGCACAGGGTAAGATAAGGTTGGGCTCCAGGCACCGCTGATGAGGAGGTCTCCCTACCGAGAGCAACTTCCAGTGCCGGCCCAGGGAGGAAAACACTTTTTAGCGGTTCACACCGTCACACCGCTCAAGGAATTTTCTTTAGCAGGAAGTTGCTCCCGCAGGAAAATCACCATCCCAAGTTTCCCAAACTACAAGCAGAGCAAGAACAGTCAGAGCACAAAGACCCTGAGACGAGGCAGACTGCGACCCCCGCCCGCCGTACTGGGGCTGACACCCCCCTTCCTGCCCACACAAACTCCCTGAGACCCCCAGCTTGCCTCCTGAGCTGCAGCTTTGCAAGGCAAAGCCCGGTGCTTCTCCCTCCCCCGAGACCAGCATCTCCCTTCCCTTACACAGCGCTGGGATCCGGCCTGGATATGGTCCGGCGCGAGC